GAACTTTGCGATGCACTGGTATGCCATCCGGGGAGAAGTACTAATTACAAATGCTGCTATTCACTTCATGCGATGGAAACCGGGCTGGGCTCGGGCTGGATGAGCGGGCCACCTGGCTCGAGCACACACCTTACCCACTTACTTTTAATTCAAGCTCTAAAGAGTTGATTATATAATCTGATCATGCGACTGAGAAAAGTTTTGAAAAGGACTGTCGCTGGTGGCAGTGAGGTTTGACGTTCTAGCAACTTTTGCAGGAGTCATATTTCATCATCAGGGTGAGGTAAAGAGTTTTTAGCTAATTCAGGCACTTAACGTCTGGTCTTGAAAACTGAGATGTTGATGAGTTGTGAAGTTAAGCAATTGGTTTTCTTTGAGACTGTTGCCGTCGCTAATGCCAGACCCTTGTCTATATGCTTCACCTACAGCACTAACAAGTTCCCTCGCGAAAAAACAACGACAAACTTGGATGAACTTGAGTGGAGCGGTTCTTAAATTCTTAATTTTTTTTAAAGTTTTTGGTCCGATTAACTAAATCATAAATCTTCAAATACCTCGGGTTTCAATTCCAAAGTTTTGTTTGGCCTCCCAGCTTGCTAAGCTTCCAAGTTCTGTCAGCATTTTAGGGTTTGGCAAAGACTCAATTTCTGTAATGCATATCAACAGCACCTAAGGTAGTAATATGTTTCTCTGTTAGTACCCTAGATGAGGATTTATTTGTTATTTATTGGACCCCTTGCATGTAACTGAAAAAAGTTGCATGATTAAAGAGCAAAAGGAAGAAAAATTATACCCATAAAGGAAGGAAGAAGGGAGATGAAATTGATTCTCTGTCATTACCCTAGTTAAGGATATACTGGTCATATATTGGACTTCTTGCATGTAACTGAAAATGTTGCCTTAGCAGATAGCAGAGGGAAAAGAAATTTATTACCTTAAAGGACATTAAAATAATTTCGTCGTATTGTGATGTACTCCAGTGTGAAATAGTCTCCTTCGTATACGCCTGAATTAAAAACTGTTTCCTAATTGAACAAAATTTCTAAATGTTGTAGATTGGCTTTGAACTCATTAAGCGTCGCCGCTCAAAATCACCTGCGTGGCGTGCACAACTACAAAACTTTGTCAGATATGTAAGGCATTCCCATGTGTTGATTGAGAACAATGTTTACACGATAAAGACCCTGGGGCAGTTGGAAATATCGAAGAGTGAGTAAACGACCCATAAGGTTTCAGTTATGCGGGCATCTTGCATTTTAACTTGTTTGGACTGTGAGATGGTAACTCACTATCTAAGCAATGAACAAGTGCGGCAAGATATAGTTTTGATTTGTTGTGTTGTTTTATCGGTAGAAACAGATATTTCTAGCACTACAAAATATATACCTTAGGTTCGCAAAGGTGAAATGTCTTTTATGAAAATATTATATTTGCAAAACTGATTATCAGTTGAATATACGAAGAAGTTTATTCTTTAACAAACATATCGCCACAATTGATTTAGCAGAAGAAAATGTTCGTAATGATTATTCGAAGCGTTCGCATCACAATACGTTTATATATATAAATACGTTTATATCACTAACTTTTTAGGAGTCTCAGAGTTATGCATCTAACAGTGTTACCGAAGAGGTGCAACTTGCTGTGTTTATGGCGCTGCTCTGCCATCGCATACTTTTTGCAGCTGTGGCATGTTAGTTATATAGAGAATCAAATTGCAATGTTTTGAAAAAACCGTCCATTTTGCTGAAGGTATCCGCCAAGAACTCGATAAAAATTAATATCCACAAAGATTTTCAATTAGCTGACAGCTATAAAGGACCTACCGTTAGATAAAGAAGAGAACTCTTCATCTTGAATCGTTGGACTCAATCGACTGCTGTGGCTCCCTTTTAAGAATGATTATAGATGTATATGTCTCCACATACTTTGGGTCAAATATTGATTATCACGTTCACATTTTCCAGCCAATAGCGAGTGCTTTCATGGAGACATCACGTCGGAATGCCTGTATTGACTCGCTCCACAAAAATATAGTTTTGATTGTCATTTCCTTCTACTGATATTAGGATATTGATATTAGGAGAAAAAAAACAAAACGATCACGTTTGGTTTTGTGTGCTTAACATTGTTCATGTTTTATTTCGCTCATAACAGACATCTGCCCTGAGATATCGTATAGACAAGGTTAAGGCGACAGGCAATAGAATGTATTCATATATCTGAGTCACATTTGCCAGAGGAGTTATATTGTGCTGCGGATTCTTGATTTTTCTATTTCATTCCTGATATTTCGAACTTTGAGGCATTTGCTTTAATTCTCGGGAAAAGAGGCCATACAAACAAACCGCTTTCTCGTCTGCAATCTCAGAAGTATTTACACGTTGTAATATGCGGGATTTTTTTCTTCGAAGTAAAAATGGATAATAAACAATCATTATAAATAAGGAGAAAAAGGACAGGAGATAGATGAACTAAGTCACATTGATCACTTAAAAACCATTAAAGCATTTGGTGCCAACGCCTTATAAACGTATGACAATAGCAGGTTCTTTTCCTATTGGAGCTTTCCGCTTTGATCGATTTTTTTCCTATACTGGTCTCACGGTTTAAACATATTCAAATATGAGTATAAAATAATGAAGCTATATTAAGCAATAAACATAACGGAATTACAAAAAATTTGGAAAAAAGTGTTATCAAGATAATTGATCTTTATAATAACGTTAACTTTGTCAAGTAATAATCAAATTAATATTGAAGACACCAAAAGGGAGTTTTAACTTAACTTTGATGAAGAAGGAGAGCTTGTGTTTTCTTTCTTTCCTTTTCTCAATTAGTGATTGAACTTTTAAGGAGAAAATGAAAGAAGATTGGAAATCAACGCATCCAATATCTTGTCAAAAAGTGCTCATTGAAAGTGCATCAAGCTTTTACTTTTTATTCGAATTGAAGAAGTTGATTTTATGAGGTCAGCAAAGAAAAATTGCAAAAAAACAGGTGTTAAACAAAATTCCCTAAAAGTCTTAGAATTGTAGCTGCGATATTTTTGCTTGATGTATGCTAAGAATGTATTTGAGAGCCAGTGTAAGGAAGAAATGTTTATGTTGTTCGTGACGCTATCGAGTTTTATCTTAATTGTGTATCATAAGCTGTATGAAATACGTGTCTGTGAAAATGGGAATAAATCTGATTAATCTCACAAGCTAATATCTACAGTAGGTTTTATTTATACAGAATCATAGAGCTCCATCGGCATTGTCTCATCAGAATATCTGTGTGTAAACAATCTTTATAATGACAATCATCTTTACGGTTCTTTTAGAGTGAAGTGATTAGTAAATTTCGCTTTGATCACGTTAAACAGAACACTATAATATTTATCTATGTTCCTATGATTTTTGCATAGTTTATGTCTACGAGGTCGAGATTCTTCTAAGTTGAAAGCAAAGGAAGAGGCCTGTATTGAGTGTTGTGTACAATCCACGTATCGCGTTGTTAATACAGACCGATCGCCCAAAACTAGATATGAAGCAGCAACTACTCTATGCACTAATGACCGTTTAATATTTTTTTTTCCGTGGGAAAGCATTCAGCACGGCCAACTAACTTTTATTCTATTAATTGATGGTATTTTAAATTCACGCATACAATATCTTCCTTCAACTTACCTGTCCACCGAATCGATTGCAATATATACACACTTTTTGCAGAAAAGCATTCTATCTATCCAATTTCCTTTCTTTTCGATGATGGTACTTTTAAATCACGCTTTCAGTATTACTCGCAGAGATTACTTGAGAACACATCTTTCCTCTTCGAAAGAGATATTCAGACAGTGCGGCATTTAACGGCATTGTGCCTGAAAAAATAAGATGTTTACCCTTTCTTCTTTAAACTACATATTTAGCTTGAAATATCAACAATAGAACCAATGGACACTGTACTGTGCGCGGAGCAAGGTTAATTTGAGCTTCGAAGTTATATGTATTGAATGGCTCAGCTACACAGCCATTGAACTATCCACAAACAAAAACTATTAGTACTCTGTATAGGCAATAGAAACAGCCGCAGTTTCAATACCAAAATATTTCAGGTCATAATCATTAAATTCTTCTGAAGCATTCAAGTCAGAGACAAGAAGGAAAGAGTACTTTTATGCCGAAATTTCATCCAACTTCCTCCTCTCTCCTCTCTGTTTTGCCTCCTATAAAGCATTATGCAGGTATGGATTTTTGTGTGTCCATGGCGTCTTTTATCAGTTAAGGAATTTTCTATCCAAACACTCTTTAGATAAATTTAGAATTTGGCTCACCTGGGCGACGGATTTGGTTTTGAATGGAATTCTTACAGGTAATATTAATTGCGATAGTTCCCTAAATTATACCAATGTAAGCTTTATGCTGGTGCACATTACTTGTTCGTTCGATATTTTTTACAGTAGCACGCTTTACTATTGATCGTTTAAATCTTGGTTTGTTCTATATTTTGTTATTATTTTTCCATATTCATATTTGATGTATTTACTCGTGTTATTTATCCATTATTTCCAAATTTCCCGCTTTGTTTGGATACTCGCATTACTTTGGTTATTTATTCTCAGGCTCTTTTTAGCTTGGGCCGATTATTGAAGTCTTTCTTTCAACTTTCGTCTGACTTTTTCAAATACTGGTCCACGTAGAGTAGCACCTCACACAGTTCAGTTGATTTCTACAAATGTCCGAGTACAGAATACTTAATTATATCGCGGACAAGTTTGGTGGTTGCGATGGTAACAATAAAATGGCATTAATAACTAATTATGCAGTGGCGACTTTGTCACCAAACAGATTTTAGTTGCCCCGGATCTTTAATAAGCTTCTTCATAGACCGGTTTTATCCCTTGCTAACAGCGCCCCAACAGTCCTCTAACAACCCTCTTGGCATGCTCTTATAACTGTTCCACAACTGTCAAGCTTACTCGTGTTTGAAGCAACTTAGTGTTAACAACCGAGTTGAAAACGTAAATTGGCCACCATAAAGAGTAAAAAGGCTGACGTTTCGAGCGTTAGTCCTTCGTCAGAGCGATTGATGAAGGGCCCAACGCTCGAAACGTCAGCTTTTTTACTGTTTACGGTGGCCAATTTACGTTTTCAACTCAGTTGTTAACACTAAATTACCTGCTATACTCTCCCACCGACGCAGCACCACAGTTTCTTTAGAAACTTACCCCTTTTACTCATGTTTAAGGTGATGAAACTAATTGCAATTCTCTTACTATAGCGTGGTAGAATTGTATGAATTTGCATTCGAAATATGAAAACAGAGAAAAAAATTAAAAGGTGACAAAAATAGGGAAGGAACCAAGTTTCACGTGTTCCAGAAATTCATCAATATTCAACTAGGAGATATAAAGTGAGTTTTTCACAGCTTTAAATAAACTAAGAGGCAGCTGATATCATGCTACGAGTTAACAATAGTTAATGTCTTACATTTATTTATCATTTACAAAAACATAAACACAGTAAATGATTAAAAATATTTTTTATACCTCATCAAAGAAGTTTTTCGTTACAATATTGCTATCGGAAAAGAAGTGTATTTTATTTATTATCATTATCTTTATTTCGGAATTAAAACATGTAATTTCAAACTTTTTAGTGATCTGTGATGAAAAGGCGACGACAGAGCCAATTAAATTGGCATATTGGTATATAAGTTGTTACGCCTACTCGGCGCGTGCGAATTGACAGGAAGTTATAGAAGCTAATACAAGGTATTAAAATTTTAAATTTGACATGAAACATTGTAATAATAAACAGCTTTTGTACTTGACTCAGCATTTTAAGTATATCACTTTTGAAGTCTTGATTATAAACAAGGATTCTCCTCATAAGATACAATGTATATGGTCTTATTAGAAATTTATTAGATACAGTAGTCCTCAAGGGGTCTTTTTTTTTCTTTTTTTCATTTCTTAACTTTAACAACTCGGAATTGACTCGGTCAGAAAATCGTTGTAATATGCCAGAGTTCACAGAAATACCAGTTGGAGGTCAAGAAAGGTGATACAAGTCGACTCAACATATCTAACAAAAAAGATGTCAAAGTGACAAATAGGGTTAAAAACTATATTTGAGTACGGTAGGCTTTGAAGACTTTGTGGAAATACCAAGGTCCACAACTTTTGCCTCGGTTGGTAAGCAGGACTCGGGCATAGCTCGTGGACATTGTGAATTTATTTTGGTTGCCTAATGCGTGGCATGAGTACAGGTATACGCTTATTCTTTGACTTACTTTCCAATTCACAATTTAGTTAACACATGCTTCCAGAAAGTTTTGAAATAAATCGAAAATGAATCATTGTAATGGTGGGTGAGTGAGAACAGATTAATCAAATTACAAGCACTTCGAATGAAATATAAAGCTGTCCGACACTTAGACTATCACTAATGGAGAATATATTCGGTAAAGTTCGATTAGATGATTGATGTCTGACAGAGCACGTACTTGACGAGGTTGACAACTCTGAAAATCACCACTGAACGAAGATACGTCAGCGCGGGGTTATTGAAATAAATATGCGGCATACAGGTATTTTCCGTGGATATGAGATCTTGAAAAGGAATATGATGAACTGATATAAATTATCAATCAAAAAATAAAACCATCTCAAACAAACAAACAAACAAAAAAAAAAAACAGATCGGAAAAGAACACAAAAACAGAATAGCATTACTATATTTGTAGTTAGATCGCATATCATGTCTTACAGTTTCTTAGCCACTCCTTAGAGGCATAAAAGATGTATGAGAGTGATTTGAAACTCTACTTTGTGTATTGGGCGAGATCATTTTTAAAAGATATCAATTTGGTATCAGTTAGAACATAGAGTTTAAGATCAACAAGTGAGACATTTTTTCAAACGAAATCGATATTCGCGCA